GCAGTCACTGTAGCACTGCAGGGGCCTTGGAAGACGTGGGACCACTGGAGAGTCAGGGCAACTGAGGCCAGAAAAAGCCTCAGAGGCTTAGTGCCAACGATGAATCTGTCACACTAACCCTCAGGCTCACGCTACACTGCCTGTGCTTCACCCCAATCTTTAACTATATCCTTACCTCCTTTGATGAATCTCAAACTATAGAGGAAACTCCAGATCTCACTGCACAACTGGTGCATGCTCTGGCTAAATCTAAATCTGTCTCCTATCTTGATTCCCTTTTGTCTCGTGGGGCTTCCAAGATTTTTGTTTCTCCCTCAGTGTGTAACAGGCTCATATCTTTCTGCTTCTTCCCCTCATAGATAAAATCTTTTCTTCATGCCTGGTCTGCTGCTGTTTTACTTTTTGCTGCTGTTTTTATCTAATTAACGGAATTCTGTGTTTTACTCTATATTTTTTGTCTCTCTCTCCTTCAATGGCTAATTTGGATTACCTTTTCCAAAACCAAATAGATTCAATGTCAAATGGCTGTAAACATGTTCAAAAACTGCTTACCTGGATTAGACTCCCTTTTTTTGGGGGGGGGGTCTTTTTGAGACAGGGTCTCCCTGTAGCCCTAGCTGTCCTGGAACTCACCATGTAGACCAGGCTGGCCTCGAACTCACAGAGATCCGCCTGCCTCTGCCTCCCGAGTGCTGGGATTAAAGGCCTGAGTCCTTTTATAATCTTCCCATTCTATAGGGAGTCTTAACATCCTCTGGGACAGCCATGAGATCCACTTTCTAGCCATTATTAAAATCATTCTACAGTTCAGTTCTTCCTTTACCTCCTTCCTACATCATGAAGACCTTAAGATATTTTCTTTGTGAGATACAGGCCCATCTCTGCCTCCTAATCAACTGAACTGGAGGATGAACCTTGACATCTATCCCCCACAAATCACATTTAATACAATTACATATATCTCCAGCTCAAGCTAAAAGGCAAAGCCTGTTTCATTGTTAGTTGCTCTGATCCACACCTTATCCACAGGTACAGGAATGGAGAGGAATAAGGATGTCCCAAGAACACCTAAAGTTCCCTAGAACTCACAGGGCATATAACTATACTAGCTCAAGGACTTTCCATAATATGGAAACAGTTAAATTTACCTACAGTAGTTGCACTTAAAAATTTCCAAAGTTTTTATTTATATTTATTAATCATGTCTCAAGGTGGAACACACCTGTATTAAAGGAAAAGTATCTTTTGCAAAAATTTTGAACAAATACAAAAAAAAATCTCCAAAATCTCTTCAAACATACACGTGATTGTCCAAAGCAAGAACAAAAGGGAGCCTTGATCTGTGAGGTTTTAAAGATTTATTTCTTTTTATTTGCCAGCAGGTATCAGTTGTAGCTCCTCTGCTAGGACTGGGGCTTCATGCCCGTTTCCCCCATCCATGCTGGGATTTTGTCTGGCTTGAACTTGATTAGGTCTTCTGCATGATTTCACAATCTTTGTGGGTTCATGTGTGTGACTGTCCTGTTGTGACTGGACAACATAGTTTCCTTGCCTTCATTCATCACATCTGACTATTTCCACCGTCTCTTCCACAAGGATCCATGAGCCTTGTGGACAGAAGGTGTGATATAGGTGTCCCATTTCAGGTCAAGAATTCTGCAGTCTTTGATCCTTTGCACATCGACCAGTTATGGGTCTCCTGTGCTAATTGCCATCTACTCAACATGCAGCTTCTCTGGTGAGAGTTGAGAGATACACTAATTTGTGGATATAACAGTAAATGTTTATGGGTCTTCAAGAAGACTTTGAGGGTAAAAACACTTTCTTTTGATCTCATAAATCCATATGGTATAAGGAGAGAACTGATTCCTTATAAGTTGTCCTTTGACCTCCACATGGATGTGTGGCACATGACCACTCATACCCCCCCCACACACGCACACGCACACACACACCAATGAAACAAATGTTTAGTCCTGGTTGCTTTGGTCTCTCCTTCTTGGGACCATTAGGTCCCTGTATTTTAACCTACTCGTCAGACTTGTTCTAGGGTTCTACAGTCCCATCAACTGATAATGCTTCAATAAAGCTTTAAGCTTCTAACCTCAAAAGCCTTAAGGCAGTGTGGGTGGACCATCTGTTTAAATGACCCCTAAGGATGGTTTCTCTTTGTATAGCATCACTCAGAATCCTGGCCAGCCTAACAAATGAAAGGCAGGGTAAGCTCATCACCTCTGCTCAGCTCAAAGAAACTAAAGAATAGACCCCAACCAACTTCCCAAGATAAAGTGTTTTGCTCATTCAGCAGGAAATGTGGCAAGATGACCATGGTTGAGTGACCAGAAATGGAACAGGTTCCTATCAGGGAATTTCCATAATGAAACATTTGTTCCAAAAGAATCCCCTAAAAGAAAGGAGTGGCTATTTCTGATCAAAACACAAGCAGAAATGAGGAAATTAAGCTACTGTAACCAGCAACAGAACACCACAGAGAGGCCACCCTCTGTGCCCAGAATCACACTGGGCAATCAGGACTGCCTTCATGTGTATGGTGGGAATTAGATGGTAGGTCACCTTAGCCCGGAGGATAGATTCCCAAATAAAAGGTGCCACAGTCCACCTTGTGGTACAAGTGATTCCTCTATTTAGTCCTGTCTTCTTGTTTCCTTGCAGTGTACATAATGAACTTGTCTCACCTACTCTGGTCTGATGGGTAAATTCATTCACTGCCCAACAGTCCCTATAGTTGCAGGGTAGTCATGGCTTGGTTTAGCATTTGGAAAGAAGAATGTAATACATACTCTGTCATTTCTCTCCTTCTTTCTTTGAGTCTACTACTTCTCCTTGCTCAAACTTAACAGGAAGCCACAAGCAAGGGGCCTATAGTTATTCATCTATAGATGGCAGCCTCCCAGGGCAAAGCATAGTAAAAAAGTGAGAATGATTTAGGAAGTACGTTAAACAGAACAACAACAACAAAAGAAATGCTGCCTTTATAAATATTCTCTATAACTACAAGAAATATAAAGTAGTTCAATAGGTGGCAGGACAATTAAGAAAAACCACAAACTTGCTTTTTTATACATTTAACTTATAGAGTGTTTTGCCTATTACAGAGATTAGCAAACTTTTTTTGTAAAGACTCTAACAGTATTTTAGACTTTAGGTTTAAAAGGCAAAACTGAGGTGCTATAGAAACGGCTCAGCAGTTAAGAACATTGGCTGCTCTTGCAGAGGACCAGAGTTCCTTTCCCAGCACTCACACGGCAGCTGGCTAACAACTGTCTGTACCTCCAGCTCCAGGGGATCCAACTCCCTCTTCTGGCCTCTGGGGGCATTGCATGACGTGGGTGCTCTTACATACATGCAGGCAATACACTCTTACATATAAAAAAATAATAATAAAGATTTTTTTTTTAAAGGCCAAAATGAGCTGGGTGTGGTAGCATATGCCTTTAATCCCAGCACTAGGGATGCAGAGGCAGGCAGATTTCAGTGAGACAGAGGCCCGGCTGGTCTTCATAGTATGTTCCAGGCCAGTTGGGCTACAGGAAGACCCTGTCTAAAAATAAATAAATAATAAATGAATAAATAAGTAAATAAATTTTAAAAGGCAAAACTGAAAATAGCTCATATACAGCTAGTTGAAATGTAGTATTTAAACAAATATAAAATAACCGTTCAAATTCAGTGCCACCCTCTGGTCTCAAAAGTCATCTTTATTTTTGCTAGCCTAAGTTCTGCACATATTTCAATGCCAAGTTAAAACTGTATCTCTTCCTCCTCTGGGACCCTGAGCTCTGAATGACAGAAAATGAGCTTAAAAGCAAGTGGCTGCAAAAAAAAAAAAAAAAGAAAAAAAAAGCCGGGCGTGGTGGCATATACCTTTAATCCCAGCACTTGGGAGGCAGAGGCAGGCAGGTCTCTGTGAGTTCAAGGCCAGCCTGGTCTACATAGGGACATAGTGAGTTCCAGGACAGCTGGGACTACAGAGAGACCCTGTCTCAAAAAGCCCCCCCCCCCCCCAAAAAAAAGCTAGTGGCTGAAGTGATGCAGAGAGTTGAGAGGATGCTGGGGGAGATCTCAGAGTCCAGGAGTCATGGAAACCAAGCAGCTCTGAAGAGGAACTGGTTTGCTACTGTGTTTCCTTTAGAAATTGCCCTCTTCAACTCCGACTCCCTTTCTCTTATCTTTGCTTGTCTTCAGTCAGCTTCATTGTTGATAGTGTGGGTGACCTCCCTCTCAGAAACTTGGATACTATGCCTGGCCTTTGTCCTTTTATGTAGTGAGTCCAGGGAAGTATTCTGCCGGACCTGTTTTGGTCACACACCTATTTGAAAAATGAGGGTGGTATGGAGAGTGATGGGCTGGAAGATCAGATCAGCCATAACATAAGTTTAGGACAAGAATACGACAGGGAAAGAGGGAAAGAGGCAGTTTCCCAAAGGAGCGAATTCTGTAGCTAGGACATGAAACAGCACAGTCTGCCTCTTTCAGGAGACACAAATAGAATTCTAGGCCAGTGTGTGGCATGTTAGAACAGTGGGAAGTCTGACGCATGTCTTCGTCACCCCCAATACCTAACATCAGAATTGGCAGACATTCATACCTTTTGATGAATGAATGACTCAGTGCTCCTGGCTGGTTGTGAACAACTCTTAAAAAAGGGCACAGAATTTTGTCAGTTGCTTTCCATTCCGTAGATTGTATTACTGCTATTTTTATTTGGCTTTAATGCCGATGTACTATAACCCCGGGTACAAGAGTGCCCGAGACTGTGACTGGCATTCAGTAAGCCTATCACAGAAACCTTAACACCCAGACCAGCGCTGGGTTCTGCCCGCACTGATGGCGGGACCCTCTATGGGTAGACCAGCGTGGTCCTTAGGTCAGGTCCCGGGCCCAGGCCGGGTTGGGGGCGCGGCAGGCTCCAGGCGGCGGAGGGAGGCGAAGGTCTGCCTCCCGCCCCTCGGTGGTGCAGCCCTGCAGCTCCCTCCCTCCCCCGCCCTCCGCCGCCTTTCTGTCTCCTCTCTCCCTCCGTACTGGACCGCGGTCCGTTTCCGGGCCCCGGGGATTTGGCGTGAGCCGCCCGGGGCGCGAGCAGGTGGCTGCGGTCGCGCTGGGTGGAGCGCCCGCCGACACTTGGTCGGCCTAGGAGGCCCGCCATGGCCGAAGTGAGCATAGACCAGTCCAAGCTGCCCGGCGTGAAGGAAGGTAGGGCGGGCCTGCGGCGTGGGCTGGGCCGCTCCGCGGGGCTCGGGGTCTGCGGGCAGCCGGGGAGGGCAGGTGGGGGCCGGGGCATCGGGCCAGGCAGCCGGGGCCGGTCAGACACCCACGCTCCAGCCTAGCCAGGCAGGGCCCGGGGCCCAGTCGCACCCAGCATGGCCCTGCCAGGGCTTTTCAGGATGGCGGAGCCCCCCGCTTGCTCACCTTAGTCCTCTGCTCTACTGAAAGCAAGGCCCAGCCGGGCCGACCAGTGGGGAGGGGCTGGCCTTCAGCGGGAGCCTTTGTTTTGAAACTTGACCCTCTTCCTCCTTTCCTTCTTCCTCTCCCTCTTTCCTTCTCTCCTGCCTCCATTCCCTCCCTCCCTCCTTCCCTCTCTCCTTCCTTCCTTCCTTCCTTCCTTCCTTCCTTCCTTCTTCCTCCCTTCCTTCCTCCTTCCCTTCCTTCCTTCCTTCCTTCCTTCCTTCCTTCCTTCCTTCCTTCCTTCCGTCCTTCCCACCCCCCTCCTTCCTTCTTTCTCCCTTCTTTTTACCCCCGGCTTTTCCTAGCCCAGCGTCTGGCTGGCTCATTTCCACCTTCTTCAAGGTTTAGAAGTTTAAGCTTGACATTGCCTTAAATGGATGTTCCCAATTCGTTGTAAGCTTTTTATTATTATTGGATTTAGGAAAAGCAGAAAACGACATGGGAGCAGGGGCATTGTGACTTTGTTTTTAAATGGCTTCCTATATTGAAGTCCAGGAAAACAAGACTAATACTGGTCAGGCCTAGCCGACTGCGGGTAATACTCTGACTTCCCTCAATCTTCACAAGCCCCAGGGCCTAGCGTTTTTTTATTCTGGGTGCTGAACCTTACTCTTTGACTCTTTGGTCTTGTGAAGCACGGAAGTTACGGAGTTAGATATTGCAAACCCCAGACAGTTCCAGAGTGCTATTGTAAGCCCAGAAGTTCCAAAAACCCCTTTGTTGTGCATGTCTACTCTTTGACCTGGGATCTGTGGCTTGGGAATGTGAAAATGAAAAAAGATTTTGATTTCTTGGAACTTTAGGTTTCATTCCTAACTATGACTCAAATGGTCTTGCTTAGGCCAACCTAGAAATTCCAAGAAAGTTGGTGACTGCTTTGCTGCATTCTGCCCGAGTTCTAAAGAAGCCTAGTGCCTAGTAGTCACTAAGTCAACTTTTTAGTAGGACTGGATCTGCTCTGTTGCTCCTAAAGAGTAGTAACACCCTGGTGCTGAAGATTTTAGCATTACTATTTTTCCACTTTTCTGTTCTATCCTGGGTTTGGTGAAGACTATTATTCGTGTTATTATAGTTTTCCCTTCACTGTGCAGACCAAGGTGGTTACCGAGTGATGGGAAAGGCAGATCAATTCCTTGCCTTGAGAGTCCTGTCTTAGGGATTGTCTGGTTGTCTCTTACTTTTGGATATGAGTTATTATTAGATTTAAGAAAAGCAGTAAAGTGTGTGTGTCTGTGTGTGTGTGTCTGTATCTGTGTCTATATGTTGGTTGTATGTCTAAAGAAAAAATGTTCCTACTCCATTTGTGGTGGATGAGGAGAATAAGGTTAGAATTAAACACAACCTGACAGCGAAGCATTAACCATGTGGTGATGTGCTTTCTCCCAACTCTATGTCCATTGCAGTGATCTGGAAAGAACTTCGTCCTCTGTGTCTGCTTTTATGCCCCAGGTCTTCTGATTGCTTATCAAGACATACCTAACTTGTGCTAGTATATTATTTCTGAAGGAGTTCCATATTGTCAACTTAAAAATGCAAGATTTTTCCAATCACAAATGCTGAAAATCAATACATTCAGATTGGCTTTCACTTTGCATAATATGGTGTTTGTCAGTCCTGTTTACATATTCTGATAAAGTGAAAAGGATGTTGTGACCCTTTCATCTCTCTTTGTTAAATTAGAATTTAATACTTGTTCATGTTGAATGAGGTCAGAAGCTGTTGGGATAATTTTTACTGAAAGCACCTTAGTTTTCTGGTTTTAAGATCATCAAAGAAAAGGATGTATTTGCTAGGAGAGTCCCCATGGTGGCAAAATTTTTGACCAGGGAAGTATTCAACTCTAATAAGTTGTATCTTTCTCTCGTATAACTCTTAATTAAGGTCCCAGTTGCTACCTAACAATGTCTTTAACCTAATTAAAGAGAATACAGCTGGTGTTCATGATGGAACTAAGCATGTACAAACACTGAGACATGTAATCCAGAGACTCCAACTAAATTCAAGGGGGTTTGGTATTAATTTGCTTAGTATTCTGACTCAGGTTTTGAAACTCATTAAAAAATCCCCACTATCTCTATGCCTTTCACTTTTATTGATATATTTTTGGAGGGTGTATGTACAATTCCATTTGACTTCAAAGCATAGATTCCAATAGAATTGAGATGAAGACTGTAGGGAATACGTGTCCCTTTCACTGACTTTTCTTTAGAAGTGCATGGGACATTGGTCTTTGTTGTGAACTTATCAAAAAAAGGATATTAGAGTAGGGGATTATTTGAAAATCTTTTGTTTTGTCACAGTTTAAAATGTAACAGCTTTATTCTTTTTATGGAGAACAGCCTCACTGGAAACACTTTTTAATGCATACAACAATGGCAGTATGCTATGTATACTTTGAGAAATATCAAGGTAGGAGACAGACATTTGAGCTTTTATAGTGAAAAGATCCAAGTTGGTTAAATGGCAGGATGCTCCTATTTCCTAGTCAAGATGTGTTTGGGAAATCAGTACATCTTCTCTGTCAGCCTTTTATTTTTTCTTTCCACAGTTCCCCAAATCATGTGTTTTTATTTTGCATTCTTATTCACATGGCAAGGTTCACCTTGTACCAGCTGGTGCATGCTCTCTCCCTCTCCCTCCCTCCCCCCTCTCTGTTTCTGTCTCTCTCTCTTCCCCCTTCCTCCCTCCCTCCATCCTTCCCTCCCTCTCTCTTCTGTCTTTTTCTTTGTGCAAAGTGTTTGATATCTAAAATCAATGCACCTAGCAGTGACTTAGTTTTGAGAGTATAGGCAGCTGTTTGTGAGCCAATTCATTCTTTACAGTAGAAGATAACATTTAACACAGTTTTAGAAATCTCTATAAATAGAATCCTACCTCGAAAGCACTGATTTATTTTGGGTCGAATACACTCAGGTAGCATGATGGGGTAAATTGAATTGGAGAGGTAAGTTGAGGACTTTGAAAGGAAGATACAGTGAGTTAACTCGGTTGTGCTGGAGATTTGAGACTTACTGCCTGCATACTAGGCAGCTAATGTGATACCAGCATTTATCTGGCCCCAGGACAAGTTTGCTTTGCTGTGCAGTTTTTGTTGTTTTTAATGAGACGGTGATTAGATCTCCTTGAACCATGTCTTACTCATCTTGCTTTACTCTCATCTGAGTTCATAGCTTTATTCAGTTCAGCAAATATTCAATAAATATTTGAATGTGTGAATGAAGGAATAACTGAATGAGTGCATATGGTATTAGGTGTCCCTTGTGGTTTAGAAATTCCATCTAAACATAATTATTTCATTTTCTTTCTCATCAGCATATAAGCCTTTAAAGAACAGACATCGTTCCTTTGAATTATGTGTATCACCAATAATGCCAGTATTAAGTTTATAAGAAATGCATGCACACATTATATATATATATATATATTTCTAGTTTGTTGTTCATTGCTGTGACAAAACACTGACCATTACCAACTTGGGGAGGAAAGGGTTTATTTAGTTTACATATCCTGGGTCTCAGTTCATCCAGGAGCCCAAGGTAGAAACTCATGGCAGGAACCTGGAGGCAGGAGCTGGAGCACAGGCCATGGAGGAACTCTGCTTACTGGCTTGCTCCCTGTCCCCTGCTCAGCCTGCTTTCTTATGCAACACAGGCCCACCTGCCCAGGGGTGGCACCACCCACAGTGGGCTGGGCCCTCCCACATCACTCATCAAGAAGATGCCCCTCAGACATGGCCACAGGCCAGTCCAATAGAGGTAATTCCCCAATTGAGGCTCCCTCAACCCAGGTGTGTCAAGTTGACACTAAAGCTATCTAACACGCAGACATACACACACTATAATTCATCTGATATAGACATGTATAGTATACAAAAGAAACTTCTTATTTCTAGCCTAGTCTTGGAAGTAATAATTGTTAGAATACAATTAATAGTGAAGACATTATTTCTCTTTTGATTTTTTCTTTTTTAAACAAAGTATAGTTTTATTTTCATCGGATAAACAGTGAGTGTGATATACAGTACAACCACTGCCTTAGGCATTAGGAATGCAAAATGAATTGTACATAGCCATGTCCTCAGCTGACCAGCAAGTAAAGAAGGCCACCATAGGCAGCTGAGTTGCCAATCAGCTAGCAGCTAGCAGGTGCATGGATGAGAACCAGTAAGCTTTGTGAATGTGATAATGGTGCTGATGGAGGTGTATGTGCGAGAGAATAAAGAATGGGTGGTCATTAGGACAGTTAAGTCCCAGGCAGGTCCTGAGACCCGCCCTTATAGGTATGGCGCATTTCCATTATTTCCTGAAGTACAAGGCAGTAGGACACAGTTGGGAGCTAGAAGGACTCTCAAGTACAGATTTTTAAAAATAATCTACTCTTTGCCGCATAGGGTGTGAGTGTAGTTCTGTAATTAAAATGCCCTTGGATGTATGGACATGATCTTGACTGCAATCTTTAGCATGTGGAGTTGCTGCAAAGAACCCTCCAGATTTAGCCTTATGCGGCATGCCTGTAATCCCACTGTTCTGGAGGCTGAGGCAGGAGGATTGTACCCTTGAGGTTAGTGTGAGCTACATAGTGAGATCCTTTTGCAAAAGCAAACAAAACAAACCCCACAAATATACGTTCATATGTGTACTAAAAATGTCTCTACCTCAAGGAGAAAAAAAGCCTTTTAGTTTATTGCTCTATGCAGACATGCCATATTCTCTTAAATGAATAAGTGCATTAACCCCCATCAATAGAAA